TATATATATATATATATATATATATATATATATATAAATTTCCTCCATTTATGTAGATGTGCATACACTTATAGGAATTTTGGTAGAATTTCCCGTTTGAACACATCTGTATAAGGTAGATATAGATGAAAGACTTATCTCATAGTAAGAATAGCGAATAACTTATATTTTTTAGAAACACTACTGACTAATATTTGGCGAAACATAAGTGCTAGTATAGGACATATTTGTGTTTCTAATATGAGTATAAACAGAGGAACAAAGGACAAATGAAATTTCTGAAGTATTTAAAATATAAATGAACCATTTGGACAAAAAAAAAAAAAAAGAGACGGAAATTGATAAATTAGGAATTAGCAGTTAATAATCGAATCAGTGGGATGAAGTAAAAAAGACATGAATCTGTTTGGAGGGGGATGAAAATTTATCTGAAGTTTTTTTTTTTCTTTTTTGGTGATGTCTGACAAAGGTATTTCAATTTGCTCGAGGTATGCATGATATGTTTTTGAAAGGCTGAATGCATAGCACGACCTTCAGGAGGCTCCTTTGGTCATCAAATCCTTTTGGAGTATGGTTTTGTTTGACCCGATTGACCAAATAAATGAAATCAGCAATGAGGACAGTGGATCTTACTGAAGACCACCCTTGATATCTAAAATTTATTATTACAATCTATATATACTTTATTTATATATATATATATATATATATATATATAATATTTTGGATTGGATTCAATTAATGACAATTATTTAATATATTTACGTTTATTGTTTTTTTAAAAATTTATTTCAGTAAATGTTCTGTTTGTTTGTTTTTTATAAACAGTATTAATTACATTTCCACCAGTCTGAATGTTTTAGGAGAAATTTGAACATTCAGCCATTAATTATTGTTTAAAAACAGTAACACCTCACAACAAAAGAGATGAATCCTGCAGCTGAGTGGTAGAGCACGTCATGGCAGAACAGGATTGACCGTTGTATAGGACATGATCGCGATATCCTGAAAGGAGAACGCATATTTTAGACGAAAATCCTGATTCATTCAGGCTGAAATAAATATTAACTAAGGCTGCTTTGATTTCAAAAAAAAAAAAAAACAAAGTATTTACTTAAATAAGTTGTATCAAGAAAAAATAATGCAGAAAACAAAAAAAAATATATCTAGGTTTATTATTATCAATGGTCCCGAAGGGACATGTCATCTTAGATTTTTAAAGAATATTTTTGAACTTTAAAGTCAGCATATCTTTCTCTCATCTGTTTTAAAAAGTGCTTGCGGAAAAAAAAAAAAACTTGTGTACAAATAATTTTCCTGAATGTAGCGAATTCAACACGCAGACCATTTTTTCAAGCTTTCAAATAAATATTTTTAAATGATTATACGTTTACAAGTATAAAAAACGAAGTTTTATATATATATATATATATATAGTTCAGCAAATGTTTTTTTATTCATTCTGTATGGACATTTTGCTGCCGATTAATTTTATTGATCTTCTTTTTACCCAAATCTCTTCAGGACTTACACTATTTGCATTGTTGACCTGATTTTTGTTGTCACATCCAGAACGTTTTAGGGTTAAGTCACTTCTAGGATCAATCAATCAACGCTTTTATCGACTGGGACATATGTTCTTGAGGAAACCTGAATCTTTATCATGTCTTGATTGACTGTCCCTGTTTGATTGAGTTTAAAAGTGACTGGATCCAAAGAGTATTCATCATTTTGAGTTCAAATGATATCATGTTGGTTTGAACAAAAACTTTACAATGCAAAAAACTAAAACTAAGATAATAAAAATTGACATAGTGTCTGGAGTTTGAGGAATAATCAAGTCCCCATTGGACTAACCATTTCGGTTCGAAATTCCAACAAATATCACCTGAAGGAGACCAGAGTGTACAACGGCCGAAAAAAAACAATATTAACAACAAAGAGGACAACAAAAGAACAGAAATTAAGAAGACAAAAGTTATGATTGACATTCTCTCAGAAATATAGACAGATTTAAGTTGACTTGATTAACAAGGGAAGAGATTTGCACTATTTTTATCAAAATTTAAATCACAATGTATAATAAACAATTGGATAAGGTTATCTAATATTATTAAATTCAAAGAGGAGGCAATATTGCCAATTTTTTCCTGTTCTTGGCTGCTGTATAAAATAAAAGATGAAATTTCATCAGAACAATTATCATGAAAATAAGGAAAGAATTTGGCATTCACTGATAGAGCAGTGAGAAAGAGAAATCGTTGCTTGTTATTTAAGGATGATAACATTTCAAATCATAAAGAAATTTTATCAAGCCTAATTACATATGACACGCATCAGACCAGATCTCAACACCAAATATTCAAAGACATGGATGAATGGTAGACTTCCAACAGTTTTAAAAATTCTGAGAGAAAAATTTTAGATTGATTACCCTAAATTGACATTTATTCAGAACTAGTATTGATTCAATACATCTTTGTCGCCATATCAGTAAAAAACGTTTTAGCCTTGAGATATGTCTATATTTCTGAGATGAGCACAATAGGTTCTATTTAGATTATTAAAAGAGACTATTGTCCTCATTTTGTCGCCATTTATTCAAACGTTTCGGCCGTTGTATGCTCCGGTTAACTTCAGGGTGTTGGAATGTCGAACTGAACCTTTTATTTAAACTATAAAGAATAGATAAGGTTGTTACAAAAAATAATGAGGTTTTGGGATGTCGTTTTAAAATATTTTTTTAACGAATGATGGAAAAACGAAAGGAATTACGTCATTATTTTTGCAGAAATTGAATGAAACCTTATTTCATTTTTAATGGATAACTCAGAGTATCTATGTTAAGTTTTCCCTTCTATGTGCCATCTCCACAGGCCATAATCCACTTATTGAACTTTAGTACTCTTTGTCTCTTCACTATCCCTACTATCCATGTTCTAATCCATTAACACAAGTTTTTAGGTGTTCTGTCATTAGAAAAACGTGGCAAATTTGGATAAAACATTTAGTTGATCCAGTGACAAGAAGATAACTGATAACTGACTTCCATTAGACTTTTATTGCACATGGCTGGAAGAAATGAAGACTAGTTCTCTATAAAAGAAAGCAAAATGCATTAAGTAGGACTGTTTAATTATAACAACGAATGCCCAAAGAAATCATTAATAAGAACGATGAAACCACCCAAAAACATGATAGTTGTAGAAATATTATACCCATTAACAGGAATAAAGTTAATCTCTGATGAGATATTTTATGAAAAAAATTTAAAACAATATGATGTCATAGTTCCAATAGGATACAACAATCACAACTGAATTAAACCCTATATTCAAAAAAGCCAATGTAGTGGAACAATTGCATTCTGGGGACTAGATTGTATCTCTGATACTAATAATAAACCTACTGGAACATTGGTTTGACTACAAATGACATCATTTGATTAAATTCAGCTTTTGTCACCTATTAGCTTATCATAGTTCTATTAAACAACATTTCTTAGAAAAACATAGTCATGTACATAATATTAGATAGATATACAATACTTACAAATACGCACAGTAAAAAGAACCATAAGATATTGGAGGCCATCTACATTAAAACAAAGTTGCCAACACTCAACAAAGTTAGATTTCAAACCAGTCATATTAGAATGCATTTAAACATACGGTTCTGTTGATAACATTTCTCTCTCACATGGTCATGTACGACATCATAGATCAGCATTATGAATTTACGACCTGCGTTTGCTATTCCTTTATTGTCGCATAGCAAACATCTATGTAAACAAAACAAGATGTCATCTTTATTGATGAATAAGTCTGTATTTCAGGTCCAAATAACAGTTTGAGGGGCAAAGAAATTTTTAAAGATTTTGTCGTGTCCACTAAAATACCAAATACAATATTTATAAACCAAGCACACTCAAGTAAACACTTACATCTTAAAACACACCAATAAAATCATAGACTACAAATCAGAATGTTTATTGTATTAGTCATCATTATTTTTAGGTAGATACCGACCAAATATCGTACGGACGTAGTAGAAGACATACCACGTGCCCTTTTAGGACCAATTAGGAATAAATAAATAAGCCGATTTTGTTACGAAAAAGTGTATAAAAACATACGAAATCCGTTCCCAAACAGGATACGCACAACTGTCACCAAACTCCACGCAACTCTCGCTTATGATCTTCACGACGTCATGCTAAAAGCGACAGCGTTGATAAACTTCAGACAACGGCAACACCGCCAACAGTAAGAAACAATTTCTATCTCTCGTGTCCGCTTTTACTATGAATCACGCACACACATGTTGACTTTTTCATACAAACACGCACATATAACAACATTTCATTGTTTCTCACATACGTACACAGACAGTTTATATTTTATTTCAGAACTTTATTAACCCAAACAAAATGACATTACTTTTCCAATTTATCATCAACTGCTTGTATTCTTGTCATTATATTAAATTAATGTTTATTTGTTGAAACTACGTTGTCTTTTCTACTGAAATTTTATTCTTTCAATGAAAATCATGTGATTATTCTAGACGGCCAAATTACGAACGACCCTGTAACGATATTTTGTTAATGTATTGAATCCCGACACCCCAAGTCTTAACATTCAACGAAAAACCGAGTAGGATTCTTACAGTTTGACCACTCATCGGGATTTAGTGCTGGTTTACAGTCTGCTCGATTTTGATGAAATATTGCAAGTTTAATTTTGGATGTATTCAATGATATCAGACAGTCTTTTTTTCACGCTGCCTTGCTTAGTCGCGTTACTGCCTTGCTTGGGATGAAAGAACATTTTGGAGGGCGATGATTCCCTATTTTTACTCTTCACTAAGTGGTCCGGAACTGTGACTCTACCAGCCTGCGTTTTATAAATATTCTTATTAGCTTTATATCCTATGACCCCCCCCCCGCAATTCTTCAAACTCTCTTATCTCTCAATGGCACACTGAAAATTATCATTAACATGTCGGAGTTGAAGTTTGTATTTAACACCACATTTCAAGAAGTAAGAAAACGTTGGAAGGGGGAAGAACTGAGACCAGTTGAGATTTTATCAAATATATAATATATATATATATATATATATATATATAGTCAGGGATTTAAAAAAAAAAAAAAAATTTTTTTTTTTTTTTTTTTTTGATGTATTTTATCAAAGACTATTTTGTTTTCACTTAAATTTGTTAAGGAGTGGGGCTAGCTTATAGAGAATTCCTTGATAGTAAAAATGATGTACACACAGATACAATTTGTGGAAGGTACGTATGGGCTGTGTACATATTTGTGATTGAACGTTATGAATGAGAGAATCCAATTGAGTTTCCATTCCCTTTTCGTTTGCATGAATACAAACATAAAAATCTTGTATATATTCTCTGTGTATTCAGGCAGCAAATGTTCTTTAAGGCAAATAAAGACGACAGACATTTTGTATCAATTTTATTGGTCCATATTTCCAAATAATGAATAATCCTTCTTGTATAAGAAGGAAATTCTGTAAGAAATTGTCTAAAATTCATTTCATAAGAAATATGGTCGAAACTTTCGACGAAGTCATTATCAGGATAGGTAGACAAATGAGTTTTCATAGAGCTAGTGAGTGTAGTGATGTAGGCAAGATATATATATATATGACATTTTTATGTTTATACATTCTTTTTTATAGATACAAATATTTAAGTAAATGCTCTGTTTAAACAGTATTAACAACAGCATTTACTTAAATATTTTTGTATCTATAAAAAAAAAATGTATAAACGTAAAAATGTCTTAAAATAATTGTCGGACTTTGTCCATTTTATATATATATATATATATATATATATATATATATATATATATACACAATATGAAAACTTGTCTTTTCCTTGATAATGTCCATCAGAGGAAGAAATGCGTCTGCTAAGATAAGATTTCATTTTGTCTTATATATGTGTGTGTCGTGGTCAGAAAGCGAACGTTGTAACCACTTGGCCATGCGCCCATATAGGGTACTATTATACTACTACGTATGCATACATACATCCCTATGTAATGAGAGAGAGAAAGGGAGGGAGGATTAAGGATGAAATAACATTCTGGGATAAGTTTGTTATTAGGTCTTTTCTCCCGACATTGAACCATTTGCTATTTTATATATATATATATATAATGTTATTTTTAATATACAATTTAAGTAAATGCTGTTTTTGTTTTTGTTTTTTTTAAATAAACAATATTAATTACGTTTACCGGCCTTATTGTTCGAGAAATTTCGTAGAAAATACGCGTTCTCCTACAGGAATTGAACCTGTGTTCTGATCTGACTCAGCTACGGAGAAGCGTCTAGTTAGCAAAGTCCAAATTTCTGTTTATTAGCAACAAATTGTCGGACTTCTTCTATTTCATAATATATATATGCACACACACAAGGGTGTTAAAAAAGAAAGGTTTTGAAAGTTTAATAAAAAAAAACATGCTAAGAGAAACACATTAAACATATTACTAGATAAGAAATGATTCAGTTATAAAAATAAATGAAAAAAAATTTCAGTCGTTTAAATAATTTTTGTTGCTTTTTTTTTTTTTTTTTTTTTTTTTTTTCACATTTTGTATCAGTTTATTAAATTTTTTAAATCTGCACTTTCTTTTTAAATAACCCTTTCATAAAAATCCACCAAGATTCCAAATCAATGTGTATTTTCCAACTGAAAATAGTGAAAAAAAACTAATGCTAATATTACCTAATTTTTTACCTAAAAAAACAAGATTTTCAAACTAAATTTAAAATATCCTGCAAATGAAATAAAATTTTTTAAATAATTAAAAAATACCTTGGTCTTCCCTCTTTAATTTTAACATAATCATTTACATGTTAAAATTTTTTTTTTTATCAATTTGGGGACCTTTTTCTCCAGGGTATACCACTTTTTAGCGTTACCTGGGACAACCCTATATATATATATATATATATATATATATATATAAAAATTCGTTTAGTGCGGTAAAACATTCTTCAGAACCATAGTCAATAAAAATCGATTTTTTTATATTTACCGATGTATACATCACCCGCACTAATCGAGAGATTTCTGAATATAGACTTAAGGTATGCTATACTTATGGGTTAAATTGCTCACTTTCAGGGATAGAGGGTAAAAAATCGACATTGAAGTCCACACGCAAAGGCGACAATCTGTTTCATGCTTGAAGGCAATCGTCAGGCCAGATGCGTTATGCTTTTGGCCGACTATTAATTATATACAGGTCAGTGATGCATTGTGGGTAGTGTATTGTATTCTTCTGACGGTTATTTTGGCGGGAGATAACGGTTATGTTTTTAATTATTGTCGGGGTTATTGAGTGGGAATCATTTTGGATTCGGGTGCAAAATAGGTGAGCAAAAACACAATGCATATGACCTGACGATTGCATCCAGGTATGAAACGGACTGTCGCCTTTAGGTGCTGACTTCAGTGTCCACTTATATTAAACACTCTTTCATACTTTGATCAGGCCATGAAGTTTGCGTTCAAACATAAACCAGACTGTCGCCATTCGGTGTTGACCTCTATGCTCACTCTTATATTTACATACGCTCTATACCTGATATTTAGCACTTTTCACCCATAATTCACCCCATATCGTATTCCCCCCTTATTTATTCATCCCCATATCGTATTCTCCTCCTTATTTATTCATCCCCATATCGCATTCTCCTCCTCGTTTAGTCATCCCCATATCGCATTCTCCTCCTCGTTTAGTCATCCCCATATCGCATTCTCCTCCTCGTTTAGTCATCCCCATATCGCATTCTCCTCCTCGTTTAGTCATCCCCCATATCGCATTCTCCTCCTTGTTTAGTCATCCCCATATCGCATTCTCCTCCTTGTTTAGTCATCCCCATATCGCATTCTCCTCCTTGTTTATTCATCCCCATATCGCATTCTCCTAATTGTTTAGTCATCCCCATATCGCATTCTCCTCCTTGTTTAGTCATCCCCATATCGCATTCTCCTCCTTGTTTAGTCATCCCCATATCGCATTCTCCTCCTTGTTTAGTCATCCCCATATCGCATTCTCCTCCTTGTTTAGTCATCCCCATATCGCATTCTCCTCCTTGTTTAGTCATCCCCATATCGCATTCTCCTCCTTGTTTAGTCATCCCCATATCGCATTCTCCTCCTTGTTTAGTCATCCCCATATCGCATTCTCCTCCTTGTTTAGTCATCCCCATATCGCATTCTCCTCCTTGTTTAGTCATCCCCATATCGCATTCTCCTCCTTGTTTAGTCATCCCCATATCGCATTCTCCTCCTTGTTTAGTCATCCCCATATCGCATTCTCCTCCTTGTTTAGTCATCCCATATCGCATTCTCCTCCTTGTTTAGTCATCCCCATATCGCATTCTCCTCCTTGTTTAGTCATCCCCATATCGCATTCTCCTCCTTGTTTAGTCATCCCCATATCGCATTCTCCTCCTTGTTTAGTCATCCCCATATCGCATTCTCCTCCTTGTTTAGTCATCCCCATATCGCATTCTCCTCCTTGTTTAGTCATCCCCATATCGCATTCTCCTCCTTGTTTAGTCATCCCCATATCGCATTCTCCTCCTTGTTTAGTCACCCCATGTTCCCCCCTTATTTATTCATCCCCATTTCGTATTCCTCTCCTTATTTATTCATCCCCATTTCGTATTCCCTCCCTTATTTATTCACTCCATATCGTATTCCCCCCCTTATTTATTCACCGCCATATCATATACTCCCCACTTTATTTATTCTCAATATCATATTCCCCCTTTATTTAATCACCCCATATCGTATTCACCCACAAATCCCCCTTATTTATTCACCCCCATATCGTATTCCCCATTATATCATTCATGTATATGTTGTATAATGAAAAAGCAAACTATATCCACTGTCTATTTTCTTGAAGAAAAAAAACTAATTATTTGTTTTTCATTTCAGCTGAACCGAGTCCTCCAGTAATCACTGATGATCTTTTGGCGGGGGCGGTCAAGAAAGAGGGTGACCGTCAGGTACTGAAATGCCGGGCTTATGGACAGCCGACGCCAACATATGTTTGGCTGAAGAATGGACAAAAACTTACGGAGACCGTGGAGGACACGCTTGAGTTGTCCCACATCAAGCGGTCAGATGCGGGGAAATATCAGTGCATTGCCAAAAATTCAGTTGGCGCCGTCCTCAGTAAAACAGCCGAAATCAAGGTTGCATGTGCGTATCAAATTTAATTCTTTTCATTTATTTCAGTTATTTTTTCTTCATGCCGTATCCCATCAGGTATCCATGACTCTCCACAACTTTCTATCTCATGTGGTTCTTAGTTTTTTCTCCCACATTGTGCCATCCATTTGCACTAGCTCGTCAGATAAATGACTCGCTGCTTCCTCCTATCTTTCTTGTCCTCGCGTCCTGGATATGACGATAAAGTACATCCGGCAGTAAGGCCTCAGATCGGAAAGTGCCCTGGGTATGACGATAAAGTACATCCGGCAGCAAGGCCTCTGATTGGAAGGTGCCCTGTGTATGACTGATTGGGAGATTGAGAGGTGCATAGATCCACTTCTTAATTGCTGCTGTTCCACTCTGACCCGGGGTGGTAGCAGATATGAATGTACGTGAGATTGAAGTTTAAAGACAGTAAATTCGACCTTGCTAACCGAACGTTCCTTCGTGGCCAAATCGGTAAAGTCACGTCAAGCTAAATGACGGTTGCGTATAGGATACAGGTTCGAATCCTGTCGGAGGACGAACATTTTCTGTGAAAATTTATCTGATATTCAGGCCGATAAATGTTGTTTTAATACTGTTTATTATAAACAGAGCATTTACTTAAATATTTGTATCTATAAAAAGAATGTATAAACATAAAAATGTCCTAAAATATATACACACACACACTCTAACTGAAAATCAGCTTCTTTTGAGCCAGTGGGAACGTGGGCTGAAAAACTGTCTTGTTTCTCCGTCTGATCTTAAAAAATTTAAATGCAATGTCAATCGTTATCTTGATTCTTATTCTTTTATTGTCTCTCTGCTTAATAGTATATATTTTCTTTATATTGTGTAACATTCAGTAACCTTTTACATCCTAGCGGCTTTATTCCCTTGCTTGGGATGAAATGATTAAAAAAATAATGTTAAGATATGATTGAGGAATGAACAGCTTGTGATCTACAAGCATAATTTGAAGTGTGGTATCACCACTTAAAAAAATAGCAGTGAAAACGACACAAAATAAAACTAAGATACATGTGACTGGAAAAACGAGACAAAATTTTTACCTAATTTTTTAAAAACATTTGATTATACAGGGTGTTCCAAAAGTGTTGGGTACATTTTGACATTGAATATCTTGAAAAGTATTAAGGATATAAAAACGTACCTGACATATTCTGAAAGGATTTAATCTCGAGTTTTACATGTAATGTTCAAAGATGTTCAATGTGAACACCGTTGGTCACACGGCTCACATCAAGCCGATAGTCCAATTCATGTCAAAGGAACTCCAGCATTGCGTTGTCGATGGTTGCAACAGCTTCCGTTATTTGGGCCTTCTGTTCATCCACGTCTTTTGGAAGGGGTGGCTCATAGACCAGTCCTTTCACAAACCCCAACAAAAAGAAGTCGCACGCTGTGAGATCTGAAGACCTAGGAAATGCACGTTGAACAAGTGTCCGTGATTCAGTTTTTGCAAATTAAAGGATGCAAAACGCCTTTTCTGGTTGAGTGAACACCATTCCTGGATCTGAAGAAAACATGAAAAAAAAATCATTAGCATTACAAAAACCTTAATGAATTTAGCTTTAAAATGGTACCAGTTTCAGCTGACTACCATTCATAGTTCAGCAGATATGACTTGAAACGTACCCAAGACTTCAGGAACACCCTGTATAATACTATCATTTCTTTTTCATAGGTTGTACTATACATAAAGTCGGCTTATATACAATATATTAGAAATTAACAAATATTTTTGTCAAAGAACTCCTGCAAGTTTTCAATTTAACAAAATCCAAGAGAGTCTCCACGTCCTTGTGGGTGATGAGTTATTTTCCACCCTACAACCTCTTTCCCACGAACACGTCATCGCAAACCTCTTGCTGTTCTATTACTATTTTCATGGAAAATGTTCAGACGAACTACATTCCTTAGTTTCACCCGTACTAACCTTCTCGGCTAAAGCCTCCCATGTTACACACATTGTAGCAAACTACACTCATTCCCGTTGTACATACTGGGTATGACAATAAACTACATCCGCGTTCTGGATATGGCGATAAACTACATCCAACAGCAAGGCCTCTGATCAGGAGGTTTTGAGAAGCATGGAACCACCTCTTAATTGCTGGTGCTCCCAGGTCCACCCTGACCCATGGTGGTAGCACCTGTTAGGGTCTCAAATGTGGGTAAATAGTTAACCCCAAACTGGGATCAAAACACTATGTAAAATAGATAGAAATAGATTTTTATACCAGAAATACTTTGTAAAAAAAAAAAAAAAAATACCAATTATACATTTTTAAAAAAATATTACCAGCGATACATATTTGAAGAAAAAAATATTACCAGAAAGTTTTTTTTTTGTAGAGAAAATATTACCAGAAATAGATATTTTGAAGGAAAAAATATTACCAACAATAACAATTTTGTCAATATTAAATAACCCATTGAGGTGTTGATGTGCCGTAAACCAAACCATTCCCTTTGTATTCCATTGAAGAGAAGTAAGCTCCCCTAGAGCAGCAGGTATCCACAAACTGTTGCTCCCAAGAGGATGCTTCTCCGATCACTACAATCTAAACCTGTTCAAGTCTAGGGTTAACTGTTATCTTTCCCCATATATCTGCTTAAGCTTTGCTACATACTCTGTAACCCTCTTCCTGCTTTGTGGAATCGACTCCCAAGAGGATGCTTCCACTATCACTACAATCTTAACCTGTTCAAGTCTAGGGTTAGCCGATATCTTCCAGTCATCTCCATAAATTTGCCCTTTACAAAAACCCTCTACCTGCTTTGGGGAATTGACTCCCAAGAGGATGTTTCCCCAATCACTACAATCATGACCTGTTCCAATCTAAAAGGTTAAAAAACTCTCTTCCGATATATCTACATAAAAAAAAAATATCCTTACAATGTAACCCTCTACCTTTAAAGTGGCTTCTGGGCCTTGTACAAAGTAAACACAATTGTTTTAAAAAAATGCTCTATTTCTTTTAAAATTACTGTATTATTGAAAATGAAAAGTTGTATTAAATATTTCTTCTGTCGGACAACCTTTTCTTGTAACATAGCCTGCTATATGCAAAAGTGACTAACATTTTAATATCTTTAGAGATCCTAATTTCTCGTAAGTTATCAAATGTCTAGCATGACATTTCATCCTGCAAATGTCCACATTTTATGCCCTGGGTCTAAGTTATATTCATCAGAATCAACATTTAAATGAAGAAGTAATTTTTTTTTTTTTTTTTTTCAATATGAAACTTTTCAGTAACATTTGCTACAGTTCTATAATCTGCACCACCAGAACCTTGTCATAATTTTCTAAATAGTCTCTGTCTGGGGTAAGACGATAAAGTACATCCGCGTCCTGGGTTTGACAATAAACTACATCTGCGTCCTGGGTTTGAGGATAAACTAAATCCACATGCTGGGTTTGACGATAAACTAAATCCACATGCTGGGTTTGACGATAAACTAAATCCACATGCTGGGTTTGACGATAAACTAAATCCACATGCTGGGTTTGACGATAAACTAAATCCACATGCTGGGTTTGACGATAAACTACATCCACGTCTTGAACTATTATGACATGTTAATCAACAGGATAATGTAGTGGGTGTTTAACCATGTTGGTCTTTAATATATTAAGATTTGCACTTAGTTTTTTAGAAAATCTATCTTATGTTTTTTTCATTTTCTTTCCAGATATCAATCCATTCAGTACTTCCTTGCCCCAGCAAGTTGAGACTAACATCGGCCATGCTGCCCTCATACCAGTTCCACCAATTAGCAGCGTCCCCTATGCAGACATTAGTTGGCTTAATGGTACAACCAAGATGTCCTCTGAAGGAAGACGCTATGACTACACATCCAACCAAAGTCTTGTGCTCCTTGATGTTACCCCAAATGACAATGGTACCACATTCACAGCCGTGGCAGATAATTCTTTAAATCCAAAAGTCAGAAGCAATTCTTTTACTATCATTGTTACAGGTAAATCTGCATTTCCACATTTTGCTTCTTGTGATGGCATGGGCACCCATGTAGAAAGGAAAGAGGTGGTTTTTATCTCGATCTCAACTGTTTCTGTTTGATGGACCACCAGATGGTTCCTTTTGAATTTTGGTCTTCTAAGTGGCATCCACTAAGTGATGAGAAAAAACACAATATAAAATTCATTATTTTTTCATCCATAATCTTGAATGTATAAAAATTCACCAACTTTTCAACAAAAAAAAAAAAAAAAATTCAAGGTAAATGTTAAAAATTCATTGCAAAACATTGATTTATTTAAGATGTAATAATTAAGATCTATTATGACATGTCTATTTAGATACAATATTTTCAATTTTTCTAGTTGAATAGTTCACTTATATTATATATGATCCATTATTGTACATAATTAGGTTACAATAAAATTTGTATTTTTTATGAATACAACCTTTTATATAAAATGAGATGTTGTGGAGTGGGGGGAGCATATCATAGATTTGGGAATGGGTGTCACGAGACCCTTGCAACGGCCCTGAAAGTGCAATTATTAAAAACAACAGTAATGACAACAACTAAAGGGAGATAAATCTGACCCAGAAAATAAAGACGAAAGAAAAATGAATAATGACAAGGCTTCATCTAAGAAATTCACCCAACTTAACACTACTACTACTACTACTAGGTGTAAAGAAGCAAGAGAAATAAGATGAAAGAAAGACTAGTCAAAAATGAATAATAATGAAAAGCTTCATCTAAGAAATTTTAAACCCAACTTAAGACTATTACAACTACTACTAGGTGTAATGAAGCAAGAGAAATAAGATGAAAAAAAGACTAGTCAAAATGAATAATAATGACAAATGCTTCATCTAAGAAATTCAATGACAACTTAACACTACTAACTACTACTACTAGGTGTAAAAAAGAAGCAAGAGAAATAAGATGAAAGAAAGACTAGACAAAAATGAATAATAATGACAAGGCTTCATCTAAGAAATTCACCCAACTTAACACTACTACTTATTACTACTAGGTAAAGAAGCAAGAGAAATAAGATGAAAGAAAGACTAGTCAAAAAATGAATAATAATGACAAGGCTTGTGAAAGAAATTCACCCAACTTAACACTAGTTTTACTACTACTAGGTGAAAAAAGCAAGAGAAATAAGATGAAAGAAAGACTAGTTAAAAATGAATAATAATGGCAAAGCTTCATCTAAGAAATTCTGTCAACTTAACACTACTCTTTTCTTACTACTACTAGGTGTAAAAAGCAAGAGAAATAAGATGAAAGAAAGACTAGTCAAAAATGAATAATAATTCCAAAGCTTCATCTAAGAAATTCACCCAACTTAAATACTACTACTACTACTACTAATATGAAAGAAAGAAGTCAAATAAAATAAAGATTCACAAGAGAAAAAAGATGAAAAGAAAGATCTAAGACCCAACAATAAATGAATAATAATAAAGAACAAGCTTCAGAAGAAAGAAAAAAATTTTCAAATTACGAAATTATTTTTACTACTACTACTAGGTGGAAAAAGAAGCAAGAGAAATAAGATGAAAGAAAAGACTAGACAAAAAATGAATAATAATGGCAATTTCATCTGTAAATTGATCAACACTACTACTACTAGGTGTAAAGAAGCAAGAGAAATAAGATGAAAGAAAGATTAGTCAAAAGTGAAAATTTTGAAAAAGGCTTCATAAAGGTTTTTATTTTTGCTATTTGTAAAAAATACATGATGAAAGAAAGACTAGTCAAATGTAATAAAGTTTTTGAAATTTGTAATTTCTTTGAAAAGAACTGAAAGATGTCAAAAATGAAAATTTTTTTTTTTCAATTTCACTATACTACTGAAGGTGTAAAAAAGAGAAAAAGATGAAAGAAAGGTTTTCAAAAATGAAAACAAATTGTTAAGAAATTCACCCAACAATAAACACACTACTAGGTGTAAAGAAGCAAGAGAAATAAGATGAAAGTTAGACAAAAAATGAATAATAAGAAAGCTTCATCTGTACAATTAAGCCATACTATTGTGAATGCAAGAGCAAAGATGAAAGAATTTTCTTTTATCTTCATCTGTTTGGAAATGGGTTCTATTATTTAGGTTATCCGCGATTAAGATGAAAATGAATAATTCTTGGCCTTTTGATCAACTCAAATAATTTAAAGAATTCAAGAGGAAAGACTGCTGAATTGGTCAGTATTAAACTTTATTTTAGAAGAGAAAAGGACAGATTAGACAAAATTAAATTTCATTTTTTTTTTTTTTTCATGGAACAGATTATTTTTTGTTTGATATTTCTTTATCACTGAACTGTTTTAGAATTTTTTTTTTTTCATTTCCCCTGAAAGAAATTTAAAAACGGTTTTTCCCCAATTGTTGTTCCTCCTTAAACACAACTTTTTCTTAGTGTACATTTCCATTTTTGTTGCAAGGCCCCTTGGGAGGATTTCTTTTTTTCATCTGTTTTAATCTTTTCGACTATTTTCCCCTTTTCTTTTTTAACTAAACAATTTCTTTTTTTCCTTATTAAAAATGAAACTCAATGTTTTTTTGACAGAACTTTTTTTCCCCTTTTTTTTTCCTTTTTTTTTTTCATCCTTTTTTTTTTTTCCTTTTTCCCCTTTTTTCCTTTTTTCTTTTTCCCCCTTTTTTTTTTTTTCCTTCCCTTTTTTCCCTTTTTTTTTCCCTTTTTTCCCCTTTTTTTTTTCCCCCTTTTTCCCTCCTTAACTTTTTTTCCCCTTTTTCCCCTCCATTTTCCTTCCCCCTTTTTCCCTCCTTTTCCCCACCTCCTTTTCCTTCCCTTTTCCCTTTTTTTTTTATACCTTTTTCTATTTTTTCCCTTTTCCTTCCCCCTTTCCCCTCCCCTTTTCCTTCCCTTTTTCCCTGTATTTCCCTCCCTTTTCCCTCATTTTCCTTCCCCCTTTTTTCCTTTTTCCTTCCCCCCTTTTTCCTTTTTTTTCTTTTCCCCTTTTTCTTTTTTTCCCCCTTTTTCTTTTTTTTCCTGAATTGATTTCTTTTTTTTTTTTTTTTTTTTTTTTACAAATTTTTCTTTTTTAACTGTGGATATGTGGATGGTGTAATGGATAAATGCTCACAATGAGAAATCATACAGCTGAGTTCAAATTCCAGTTGGGCTTGTTACATTCACTTACACACAAATCTCCTTGGGTAAGGTATGAAATGACCTATTCTCACCTGCAGCAGAACATACTGGGTGCTACAGACTTTTTTGGCAACCAGTCCAGAATTCAAAATTGTGCAGAAGACAGCAAGAAACTACTGCATGGCAATTCACATTATACGAAAATGAATCTGTGGAGGGTTTTGATTGTCTATAGACTGGAGAATGATGGACTGTCAGATTATCTTGCCCAGGATACAGCTCTGCTGCTCGAGCTGCAGTACATGCGGTCATCCTATGACAATAATGGGTCATTGGACTCCTGAATGATTTTTTATAGTCCAGCTGTATGATCCTGGATGTAAATTTAACAAAGCAGATTAAAATCACAAACAATAGAAATCTGTTGTACAGCAAGTGTTTGATGAGGTTGGTGAGGCTGATTTCCCGACTGCTCTCTCGGCAATTATTACTAATTGGGAGAGATTTAATGTCTCAGGAGATAAAAAAGATAACACTACCTCGAAAACTACAGAAACTTAAGGTAACAAAATACCCGCAGTTCTGACTTCACAAGACACCATCTCTTGCTGCCTACTTTTATTAGCATGAGGCATCTTACGAAGACCCAGATTTGAGAGGCCTGTATCTAGATATGCCAAGTTGTCCCGTTGCTATTGGGGAAAAAACACAAATGAAACTGGTGTTTGCGAACAAGTCTGCACATAATGTGGGGCCTCTTTTGCATCTGTATTGACATGAATTAGCCACAATTCCGTAGCAGCCCCAATACCATGCTTTGTCAAAGGCCTTTAATATATCTAGGGCAATGGTTCGCTGTAGAATTTGGAAAGACAGAATATTGTGATTGATGGTGCATTTAAATTTTTCAAAATCATAGGTGGCAGGGAAGTGAGAAACTGAAAGATTTCCACAAGTGAGAAGTGTGAGAAAATAGTTACATTTACCTATTTCAACAATAAAATGATGAGACCTAATTGCTAATCAAATAAATTCATGCAGTCACAAGTTACTGAGGAAGAAAGCTCATAACAATTGCCATGGAAATATTTATTTTAAAAAAAAAAAAGACAGAGGGAGGCTACATTATAGTAGTGTGAAAGTAATTGAAGTCAAGATGTCAGGACAGATTACCATTACAGACCTGTAAGCAAAGTGCGTTGAGATTGGGAAAACACCCTAACCAATAGCTAAAGTTTAAAACTTCGACAGTAATAGGCAGAAGAGGAAAAAGAAGGAGGTAACAAAAAATGATACTACCTCAAAAACTACAGCTACTTTTGGAACAAAGGGCCAACTTCACAAACACTGTGTCTTGCTAACTGGTTTTCCTGTTCCTTTTATTAGCATGGGGCATCTTACAAAGACCTGGTTCTTGACCAGTTGCATTTTTTTTGTTGTATCTAGACATTATACTGTCCTGCTGCTATCAGAGAACCCCAGATGTAACTGGTGTTGACAAACATGTCAATGATCTTTGCCCTAATTTATTTCTGGATGCATGTTGGCCACGAAAGCTAAATGCAATCATCCAAGTTGAACATGTATATATACCTTGTCTCTATCTACTTTTTTTGACTCTCATGTAATCCAAAGCTATATCGACCTTTCTGAGATTTATAAAAAGTGACTGAATTTAAATAACCTGGAAATGGGTACTATATCGTAAACCAAACCAAACCGACTTATTTTGCATTTCTCTATATATTTCCAACTTCTACTGTTTCTCCTTCACACTTGCTTTCCCTCTTATTTCCTGCTTTTCTATCTCTTCCCTCCAGCTATGGGTTAAATAGCAGAACTGGAAAAATCATGGTTTATTCTCAAAAATTGTTAAAAACAAATCCATCAATGCCTGTTTTTCCCAATTTCTTACAAGAAAGCATAGGATAGTAGCTCAGAGTGAGAAATTGGAAAGCATGGTTCAAATTCCGCTAAGTCCATTGTATTCACTTTTCTTTTATACTTTTTTTTTAATTATTTCATCTCTCCATATGTGGAGTTAACTGAGAGAGTATAGAATAAAGTTAATTTCACAAAATAAAAATAGACTATATAAATATTAAATGAAAGTTGAAATAAACACTACCAGTATAGCTACAGAGAAGCATCTAGTTATATTTAATTCTGACTCTGCTAACCAGATGCTTCTCTTCTTAATTACACATACCTCAGGTCAAATAATGACGGTTTCATAATAGGGATACAAGTTCAATTCCTTAAGAATATTCTTTCTACAAAATTTCTCAAACATTCAGGCTGGTAAATGTAATTAATACTGTTTAATTAAAACAAGCGTGTAAGTTAAATACATTACATCTATAAAAATAATATATAAACAGAAAAAAAAAAAATATATATATATATATATATATATATATATATATATAAAAAAGAAAGAACAGTAAGATATATAATCCAGTGTTCTTATTTACTTTTTATTTTTAAAAACAGTGCTCAATGTAAATTTTGCAAAACATATATATTATAATATATGC